ACAGCTACAGTAGAATCTCATTACTTCGAACACACTTAATTCGAACTTCTGGTTGATTCGAACCTATGCTGAAGTCCCGTCAAAGCTATGTGTATATCAATGAGCGAAAACGTCCTGTAATTATAATGCGCAAGCACTTGCGACGGTTAATTCAAACATACCGCGCCCCGCAAATGCTCTCAGCACCACATTCAATCCCGCCGCGGCACCTTTGAGACTTCATACCTGCGTGCGAAGGAAAAGAAAAGGCTGTGGTGGAATGTTTGTTCTCTCAAATGCCGATCTGCGACGTGCCTGTGTTATGCTTCTCCCTTTTTTGTCCCTGACATGTAGAGACCATTCTCCTTTCAATGCCACACGCGGAGAGAGGAAAGATTAAGAAACCTGTCACGGAGTGCTGGTTCTCTCTCACACGTCGGTGCCACGCTTCCCCCTTTCTCGTCTCTTCTCCTTTCAACGACGTCTGCGAAGAGAGCAAAAAAATAAAAAATCTGTCGTGGAGTGCTGGTTTTTCTCAAACGCCGATATGCTTCTTTCCTCCTTGAGACGCTCCTCCTTGAGACGCTCCTCCTTTCTCATCACGTGCTGGTTATGCTGCGGCTGCGACGCAGAGGGTAGTAGCGGAGACGCAGTCGATGTTGTCGTCATCTTTAGAGAGTGTCGGTGCTGCACATTGCCGTGCAACTTCTCTAGCCAGAAGAATGTCCTATTTTTTCTGAAATGGATTCCTTTGGATGTTGATGCACTGTCAAGTCTAACAAATTCACAGGTGCACCTAAAGAGGCAACCTTGCCAAAGCCAAGGGATCAGCGTGCTTCTGTATTTGGTACTTTCTAAAGCTGTTAAGAAGTGGCAACACCTGTTGGCTTATCTAAAGATGCTTGGACACATTACTCATAGGTGGCAGTGTTGGTTAAAGAGGCTTTGGTTGCGATGTTTTATTTCTCTTTCCTTGTTTTGTTTTGTGCTGAGGCAGAAACAATACTAATGCCTAGCATCTGAAGCAAATGAATGAAATATTTTTGTGATGATAAAAGAGAGGCACGAGGTGTGGGCTGAATGTAGAAGCTCGGCGACTGTGTGCGATAAGAAAAGAGTCACCCGAAGGAATGCGCACCAGCCACATAGACGCCGGAGATTGGTTGGAGAAAGGCTCGTGGCACGCGACCCGAGCCGAGAAGAAAAATCATAGAAGACGAGTTGGGACTGTGTGTTGGGACGCCGAATTGCGAAGACGTAGGAAACGAGCGTCACCATGGGGATCGGAGCAGCATGATCGCCTGGTTCTGAGAATGTCGGGCTGAAGAGGCCTGGGAAGTGGCGTTGACCTTGGACATGGTCCCGAGTAAGGCTGCCCGGACTTGCCGCATCCTGTTCAGCACAGCAGTTCCTGGTGGACTTGCAGCTTCCCCACATCACATTAGGAAGGGAGCAGTCCACACCAGTCAGCCGAGTGAACACCTCTATGTGGGAGTCCTTGACGAGCAGAGCCTAGCGAGGCTAAATATTGAGACAAGGACCGAGACACTAGCAATGAGGACGAGCAGTTCGTGCAGCGGTAGCAACCGATAGTGACTGGAAGTAGAGCAGCCCGGAGGACTCGACGAAACTCTGACACAGCATGGGGCAATGAGTCGCAATGTGACAAGCCGTATGGAGATTACTTTGTAGATGCCATATAGGCTTAGGGCAAGGGACTAGGGCTAGTAATGGATTTAGACTATACTACAGTCAGTTTTGGTTTGACTTTGTACAGGTTGTTATTGTGGCAATTTTGTGTACTTGCAAGTGTTTCTATATTGCCGTGGCATAGGCTGCTTGAGGCACTGGCTCCAAAGTTTTGTCCTCGCAATCCAATTCCTCCAAATCGCTCTCGCCACGTACTTCATTCACAATGCCCCAATCCGTGCACGGTTCCGCCGTGTTGGCATCATCATTGGCCATAATTGAACCATCACAACAGATGTCCCACCCGCTCTCCCAGGTCAGAGTCGACTACGTGCTGCCACAAATCCCCGCCGCAGTGGTTCTGTTTAGAAGCTTCAGGCTCGGCATCGGGCCCGACGTTGATGAAGTCAGCCTCACGAAAACAGATCCGCGCGCATAAAGCCGTCACCGCCGTCCACGAAATATTCCCCATCTTCACAGCTGAATACCGGGACGCCCGAAGCGGCAAGTTTGCTGCCAGGTGGTCAACAGCTATAAACAAGCGCTCCGCGACGCGGCACCTAACGGATAGATTACGCTCAAGCCAAGTGGTGACATTTTCGACGTTTTGTTGAACAGCATGAAAAAGCATGCTAGTCCTCTCGTCTGCCTGTATGACCACACACGCACACCAAAAGCGAGCTAGACGCACACACGCGACACACATGCCAGAACGCGTGAAACAGTTCTGGACCCGTTTTGAATCAGAAAACGAAACTGATTCAAGCCAGTATGGCTGGTGTCGCGGAGCAGGGTAGACGGGCGAAGGGGTTGGGATCAGGAGAGGAGAGCCGATTTCTGAGAAAAGGGCAAGGAGTTGCGATAAAGAGAGGGAGGAGGCGGCGAGAGGGCTACCTTGAAAACCAAAACACATGAGAAAGAGGCAGGTTGGAGAGCTTGCTTGAAAGGTTGGCGAAACTTGCACGCAGAAAAACTTGAAAGAGGGCCTGCGTGCGCTGAAGTTTGATCAAAGCATGGCTGCCTAGATCGGTGCATGCGGCGGTGTTCGAAGAATCGGCCGCCATGGTCAAAAAATCGTTTTGTTGCACTGGCAGGTTTGCATGACCTCACGAACTTCGGTATATTGCAATTCGTTTCGCGTAAATTAACAGTCGTTTTTGTGCTTCCACAGGCGTGCGGATGGCATGCTGAGCTGAGTGCAAAGTGAGAGAGAAGTCCTAAAGATGAAACGAATCGCAAAATATCAGAGTCGGTGAGGTAGTGTACGGGCGTGCAATAGACACAGACTATCGGATACAGTCGGTGGCCGACGATCTTGACAAATGATCGGGTCACTCCAGGCCAGCAAACCAATGACAGTACCAGCGATCAAAAACAAGGTGGCTGACTGGTCCCAAATATCGGTGGCAGTGTGAAAGCACGGGCCTCGTCTGGCGATGCGGGGTGCTCAGAATAGCGCGGGGATGAAGATGGAGGGGTGTGTAACAAAAAGCAGTCGGGGCATGGAGGAAGAAAGCAGCTTTCCTTCCTCCATGGGTCGGGGAGAGCGGCAACAAGAGGGTCACAAAGGTAGGGTCGGCGTTTAACAATAAGAATGCATGGGCACCTCGCCAATGGCTCATCGGTAGCCGAAAGTGGTTTCCCGGGAAGACGGCAGGCGGCTGACTCTGTTTGCTGTAACCGATCAGCAGTGCTCGGAGACGTTCGTTGTAAGTGCAATTTTGTGCATTGAACCAATACAGTCGATACTCATTATTCGAACACGTTTAATTCGAACTTCCGGTTAATTCGAACTCAAGATGAGGTTCCGTCAAAGCTGTGTGTATTCTAATGGGCGAAAACGCCCTGTAATTCGAACGCCCAAGCACTTCCGACAGTTACTTCAAATATGCAGCGCTCCAAAAATGCTCTCAGCACCCCGCCCAATCCCACGGCGGCACCTGCTATATGTCAGTGCTGTGCGCGAAGGAAATGAAAAGGAAGGAAAAGGCTGTGGTGGAATGTTTGCTCTCTCTCAAATGCCGATTTGCGACACGCTCGTGTCACGCTTCGTCCTTTTCCGTCCCTGCCACGTAAAAACCCTTCCCCTTGCAATGTCGCGCACGAACAGAGAGAGGAAAAAAAAGAAAGCTGTTGCTGGGTTGAATGAATGTGTGGTTGAAAGAAAGGAAAAAGGCACTATTTTCTGCAGCCCTTGCCCCGTGGGGGTCTCTCAGGCGTCAGTTCCACGCTTCCCTCTTTCCCGTCTCTGCCACGTAACCCTTCTCCTTTCAACGATGCGCGTAAAGAAAGCAAAAAAAAGCTGCCATGGAGTGTTGGTTTTCTCTCAAATGCCGATCTGCTTCTCTCCACGTTGGGACGCTCCTCCTTTCTTGTAACGTGCTGGCCATGCTGCGGCTGCGTAGCGGAGAGGCTCCGCTAAACATTTTCTCGCGCAACTTCTCTTCCCGGGAGAATGCTGGAGCCTATGTAGAAATGCTTTGCAATCTGCATGCAAAATTGATTGACTCGCTGCAAGGCAAACGTGTGCAGACACTCATCACCGATTACTTGAATTAATGAGAGATGTCCTGTGGTTTGTGAATAAATCTAAGTCTTCTGAAACTTCCCCCTCGTGTGTTAGCTCAATGCACATGTGCCACTTCATGGTGAGCCCTCCGTTCATTTAGCTTGCAATAATGTGAACTTTTAATTCGAACAAATTTTCAGGCCCCTTTGAGTTCGAATTATCGAGATTTGCACGGTCATGCGGATAGTGCTCATTTTAAGTGAAAGTTCGTTTTAAGTGGGCAGCTATACGTGGGCTCGACTCTATACAAAAAAATGTGCTTTGAAATCCGTGACATCATGTTTGGAAATTTCTCTGGAAAGACTTAAAGAGGCACATTGAGCTTGTTTTTCTCCTTTTTCACTAAATGTCCAATGGTGAAATCAAGGACATTTTATCATTTGATTCTTTCATCTTGGTGCCCCTATAAACTTTTTCTTTTTCGTACTTTGAAATGCCTTTTAACTGAAGCAATTTATAGATGAAAATGTGAGTTTTTGTGAGATGTAAATCCAAATATTTTGTTGTGCTTTCTAGCAAACGTTGGGGCTAAGTGCTTGCCGTAGGGAGCCTGCTGTGCACACAAGACCTTTTGCTAAAACATGCGTGCCTGGTAGTCTAGGGGAGCAGTGGAAAAGACAAGAAGGTCAGAATGTGTGGTTGCTTCATGCGGTCCTTTCTTTGCAATGCACTGCTCCCCTACAAAAGGTCCTGCTCAATTGCAAATCACTGCACATGTTTTGCTCACACACAGTGGTGTAAATCGTTTTTTTGTTTTTCGCAGAATACACTGTTTGAAGAAGCGGAATTTCAGCAGTTTGCATTCTTCAAGACTAGGATATGCCTACGTAATGCCCTTCAAGTGAGTCATTTTGGGGGTGACTGTAGCCTGCGTGACTACGAATTGCTTTTCTTTCAGGATGAAATGATCTCCAGCCAGTATGATGACAAAGAGGCTGTCCTCATCACCATGAATCGGCCCATGATTTACTTTCAACCTATTGCTCTCGACAAAGGTATTTGTTGTTTGAACAGAATGTTGGGCAGGTCTCACAATCGGGGCAATCTCATTTCCAGCGGTCCTGGTCTGGCTTAACTACAAGAATGCCTATGAATACTGGAATGAGCAACGAGGAAGCCTAAATAAAGAGGTGAATTTGTTCTTTTCTTTTTGTGCCCTGCTCATCGCGGCAGAGAGAATGGCACAGCACTGTACAGTGGAGTCAAGTTTATACTGATAGGTGATCGACAAGACTCTTGGTTCAGTGAGGTTGTAAATACATAATACAGTCGACTCTCCTTAAACGAAACTCGAAGGGGATCCGTAAAACTGTTTTATTTATCAGAAGTTTCATTTAGGCAAAGTACACTTTATTAGTGAACGAAGAACTTTATTCAAATTGCACAAACTCCACCTTACTCATCAGGATGAGTAGGAAGAAAAAAAAAAGAGTGAAGAGTGGTTTGTTGGCATGCTTGAGTTGTTTTTTCACAAGGTACGCGCCCATGCTTGACAAACTAGCCGGAAATTCTGGACAAGCCTAATGCTCAAAATAGCGCTGCAAATGTTCAATAGCCTCTTTAGCTGATCGGTCTCGTGGCACCACTGCACTGCCAGTATTGTCATCACATTCATCGCTGGAAGGTTTATCCTCATCTTGCACTTCCGCAATCATTTCCTCGACAATCTCTTCACAACAGGTATGACATTTTTATTAATTGATTCGTAGTCCTGCAGCGTAAAAGGGGCAGAGGGCACGACCTGCCTGAATACTGTCGCAATGTCGGCATCGGCAAGGCTTTCTGCTTCAGCAGGTACTGCTTTCTTGCGCTTGATAGCCAGCATGGTGAAAGCATCAGTGTATTGTTGTTGCCTTCACTTGTTCCCAGACACAAGCCAAAATGTGAATGGCTGCCAACAAATCTATGCTGTAGCATTTCCCGCTGCCTGCTGTAAGCAGTATTTGATGGAGCAATTGTCTACGATAATGAGCTTTAATGTTCTGATTAACCCCTTGATCCATCAGCTGGATCACTGCTGTTGCATTGGCTGGCAAGAACTCCAGAGTGATGGCTTGGAGTCTTTCAACCTGACCGATGGGCTGGGCAATTATTCACTATGAAGACAACCTTCCTGCTTTGCCTCGTAAATGTTGAGTTTCGCTCCCGAAACTAGTTTTCGAAAATGGCCATGGTCATCCACACTCTTCCGTTTTCATTGTACACAACGAGTAGGTGTCAAACGCCTTTAAAACAACGTTGGTGCCATGATTTTTTTATTACCTACAGCTTCAATTTCTCATCTGCCATGTTTACACCCACCAGCACAATGATGCGATCTTTATAGCGTTTTCCTCTGCTACAGGCTTCGCCATTGAAGGTGAGAGTCTTTGATGTAAGGGAATTATAAAAAAGACCCACCTTGTCGATAGTGAAGACGTCTCGTGGCTCAATGCTCATGAAAATTTTCTTAAGCCGCCCCTGTTGCCAGTCGGTGCAAATGTCCCTGTTGACTGCACCACTCTTACCTGAGATTGCTTTGAAGACCAGGCCATAAAGTGTTTTGAAGTGGTGAGCCATCCGTCGCTTAGGACAAAGTTCTTGACACCCATTTGCATAGCGATCTCTCGAGCTTTCTGCTTGAGAATTGGTCCGCTTATGGGCAACTTGGAACTCTGTGCACACTTGAACAACAAAAAAAAAAACTTTTTCTAGTTGCGCATAAGGCCTTGTCGGCATCCGCATCCATTTAGATGTAAAAGTCCCGTTCTTAACAGTGCCTTCAATATTTTTTCTGTCTTTCCAGATTCGCGACAGCGTCGATTTCAGGATTTATTTTTTCGCAACCTCGGTCTTGGGCAGGCTGCTTCAATTGAGCTCCTGAAGAATTTGCAGCTTTTTTTCAAGCGAGAATGCATGGTGCGGCCGCTTCCTTTTATCGGGCTGAAATAACACCGTGATCCACTGCACTTAGCCGAACAAACCCAAACAACCCAAACAAAACCTCAGGACGCCCTCAGTATGCCTCCATGTGGACAATATGATGCCCTCAGAATGTCCTCTTATAGTATTAGAACAGCACTAATCCCGTCCCCTTATTCATACACATAACAACCTCAGCACATCCTCAAAACAACACTTCAAGAATTTTTCAGTATTTTTTCAGAACAATGATTGCGTGGCCGGTTCGGTACTGTGGGCAGTGATACTACTTAGAATTTACTTCTTTTCATGATATTTCCATACATCAAAAGAAAAACACCTGCGAGGTCTCGTGTATATATACTGTATTAATCAACAGAGAGATGACAGTGCTGGGCTATTACAGTAAAACAAACAGCTTATTGACTACAATATATTTATTTAACAGTAATTAATCACAACTGAGAGCTTTGTCAGGCATTCGGGTCCGTGTATAGTCTGAAAAAAGAAAAGCAGTATCAAGGCAGTCAACACAGCTCAATGAACTACATTTGTAATCTTCTTCGAAAGTTTGACACAGTGTTACGCTCTACAGCAGCGTATAATGACTAATTTAAGGCTGTGACATTTAGGAACACACTGTTTCAAATGAACATTTTGCAATACCGGGTTCGATACCTAAGCCCAATATTACGCAGGTCTCAATAAGCGGAACGCGTAATTTGAGAATTTTGTGCCGAAAAAGAAACAAATGAGGCGGAAATATACAATAACTTTATGACTTTATGACACGAACTTGTGGAGAAAGTTGTCACATATGAAATGCATCTACTTGGTGCCCAAAGGTCTTGAGGAATTATATCTAAGTGCTCAGTGCAATGCCTTTGTCATCCCCGAAAGGTCCTTGACAGGACCTTTTCTGGACCAGTTGCTGTCCTCAGAAAGCACTCGAAACGTGTTTTGAATCGGCGCTAGTGCATTGCTTTTGTCCTCTCCAAAACGTCTTTAAAATTACTTTTTCAGGATATATTGTTGTCCTCAGAAAGCACTCAAAAAGACATTTCTGGGTCAAACCAGCTTGTGTTGTCCTCAGTAAGTTCTAAGATCAAAGAGAACTGTGCAAGGATTATTGTACCTTATGAGGACGACCTCGGGACATCGATTGTTGTCTGGGAATAGGCCTAACGCACAATTGACTCACCGACTCGGCTGCCACAGCCACAAAGGAGAATGGCTACTGGATTGGCTTGCCTCGATCTCGAGGTGTTGACATTGTTGTGAGACTACTTTTGGCCATAGCCTCCTCGATTTCCCTTGCCTGCCAGATGAGCGCGAAACGCCCGTCATCTATGGCGGCACTACCTACATAGGGGTAAGGGTCTTTGTACTTGGCCTTTGAGATCAGCAATTTTGGCGTTTGCTAATTTCGGAGGCTATGCCTTGTATTGAAGGGGTTGCCTGCTGAATGAGCGCAAAATGCCTGTCATCTATGGAGGCGTCACTTACGTAGGGTTAATTATAATTACGTTTACATTTCTTTAAAACTTTTTACGTTATTTTTGTTGCATATAAGCTTCAAAAACGTATAGATTTATTTGAAGACACCCCTACTTAAGTGGCTCCACCACAACAGTTTTGACGACGGCTGCTTCTCAAGCGACCGCCGATAGTCCGGCAGGTAAGGAAAATCTAGGAGGCTATGCTTTGGCATGAGCGAGTCTATGCTGTGTTTAGAGTTTGTGCTGTGTTTAGAGTTTGTGCCGTTTAACCATAGGTGACCAATAAGCACTGTTTCGATCAACTAATGTATTTTACTGCCCAATGCATAGAAATTCAGCCATATGAGCCCATTTAGTTCCATTACTGAGGCATTTTCGTTTAACCGAGTTTTGTTTATTGGGAGTCCACTGTTTATTCGCAATGTTCATAGACTGTCGCGCCGCCTAGCGGAATTCAAGACCGTCCTTTCAGAGATGATTAGTAGGCAGACACTCCCAACACTCCCTTGTTTGGCTGTGCTAGCCTCAGTGTTAACGCGTTTGCAAGAAACAAACACAAATCTCTTTGTATGTTGCGCGCATCAGTGAATATACTGGACCATCCGTGACACGATAAATCTTATTTGTTCTTGCGAGAAGCGGAGTTCTCATGAAAATACGTGGAAACTCGCGCTTTCGATTATAGCCTGCAGAGTACACATGTCAGCTTTGCAAGATTTTCTGCAGCCACATTGGGTAGTTAAATGTTATTCTCTAACCTTTGCAGTCGAAACTCACCTTGTTTTACATGCGTATAGCATTTGTTAGTGCTTTTGTAGTGCATGAATCTCATAACATTTATCGGAAGTGGAAAGCAGTGCAGGCTCACGATTTGCGTTTCCAAACCTTGGCCTACACTCCGCCGCTTGTTTTTTACGTTTGTTGATAGATGGCAGCACACTGCAAGCAATTCCTTTCTTGCCTAGTATCGGAGCGAAAGGTTCTTTGCTCCCCCAAATAAACATGGTGACACCGTGTTGGGGCTGTATAATGGCGCGTTGTTAGTGCTATCCAAGTCATTTAGCAGAGAGAGTTTCTCAGATTACTTTCAGCAGTAATGTTCAAAGAAGCCGTTTTAACGCCAAAGATTTTTCACTGGACGTGGAATGCCACAAGAGTGACAGTGACGATAAACGATCAGCTGCTAGCTCAGGAGCAGCGAGTTGCACTTCACGTCCTCTCGTGCGTTGATGTTTTTTCACACTCGTAAGTCACTTTGATGCTGTTTATTGTGTAACATTCTTTAGCGAGCACAGAATAAAAGCATAGTTTTTCTTGTGCATTGTATGTAGCCCAATTACAGTGAATATTACAAAACGCCGCATGCTGCCAATAAGCTGGAGCTCGATCAGCAAAGCAAAATGGTTAGAGCAATAAAATGTGCAGTTACGACTATACAGTCCATACTAACTTTTTCTACACTTCACCGCTGCCATCTGAACAATGTTGTTTTAGACGAATTTTCGCAAATTTGACATTGCAAAAAGCATAAGCGTGTATTCGTTTCGATATCCTTGTTTGCGGGATCTTGTGAATGACACGAGAGATCTAAGCATACATTGGCCACAAAATGGGAGAACAGGCTGTCTATTAAGGGTTGCAGTGTGGCAACCAAGACTCCTTGAAGTAGCTCTTGCTTCATTTGGCAAAATTGATAACGTGAAGGTATAACCAGTTAGAGACTGAAGTTACGAAGCAGTGTGGCACAGTGATATTGTGCACCACAAGGACAGGTGCTTGACAGTGACAACATTGTTACAGGTTCTTGACAGTGACAATGTTGTCACTGTCGAGCACCTGTGAAGCTGTGGCCAATTCGAGGAATGTTATAGATTTAAGTAGTATACAGAGGAAGTCTGCGGTACAGAGGTTGTTCAAGAGTTCGGGGCAAGTATTTGGAAGAAAAGGAAGTTCGAAGCAAAGATTACCAGCGGAACAGTTGATCAGAGCAAAATGCATCCATAGGAAGTTAATCCCGTAGATAAGGTCATGACGACATTTGTTGAGCATCATAAATAAAATGGGAACGTGACGGCCGGCAATGCTAATACAAGCAGTACACATTCCAGTTGCCACCATCGGTGGTGTGTACGGCTTTCGTTGTAGCAGGCGGAAGTACCTTTTTGAGTCGGTGGCAAAGGTCAGCGCTCATTATGAATACCCGAGCTTCAACATCAACTAATACCATTGAAGAATTACCATGCACATGAACTTCGATAAAGTTCTTACTAGAGAACCTCAACACCTAATTTGGGACGCTCAAAAATGATGCAGTCGTAAGTTTCGGTATACAGTCACTGACCAAAAATTAGGACTTAAAAAGCACTGTGAAAATTCCAAAAAGACTTACGTAGTTGTAGATACTAAAATCTGCTAACTGAATGGGACTTTTTTCTAATGGAATTCCCAGAATATAAAGGTGTACCATATTATCTGTGTCAGCTGTGTGGATTATGTAAATTTTGCACAACAACTTCCTGAAAGAATATTGGCATATAAAAGTGCAGGCACAGTTTCTGAGCCCACCTCGCTTTAATGCATTACTGAAAACACTGTCGCCCATTGAGATGTATTGTTTGCAAAACATTGCAAAAACTGAAAATATCTTGAAAAATTATTGTCTTGAAATATGGCTTGAGTTTTTCAACTCCTTGCTGTGTGTGTGTGCACTTACTTGTGGCCTCTGGAATCAATTTTAAGAAGCATTGCTCAGGGGTGCCACGCTTTGCCATTCGGGCCAATTTTATATACTTTCAGGAAGTTGCACGAAACCTGTGAAATTAGTTGAATAGCACCACACTGTGCCAGATTGTTCGACTACCTTAAAAATTTTCTTAATTATGATAACTTCAAAAGTTTTGGATAACATTAACCAACCCAATTCATTTGCACAGAGGAGACCTAGGCATGCATTTTTTCAAGTGCCCGAAAAGTGGTCTGTTTTTCAGTTAGTGCCAAAACTGCAGCACTAGGATATTTGAGAATTAAAGCAACAATCAGATTTTATTCATAGGCATACCCTTTTATTGTTCTAAAGGCTAATATGCAGTTGGGACAAGTGACTGCTTGTCTGTATTCGGCTCGCTTCTTTTAACCATACAGGTGCGTCGGCAAAGATTAACTGCTTTTCCCCTGCCCCCATTTGTGGCGAAGTCGACCACATAGTGGGGTGCAGAAGGCTGTCTGCTTTTTCGTGTAATGTAATCTGGTCAATTAATTATTTTGACATGGATGTTAGTCTAGTGACACTTTTATACACAAGCTTGGGGACCATGATTTGTAAGTTTTTACATATATAAGTGTTTTATGCTAAGGTTGATGGAGACTTCACTGACATCATTTCCATCGTGGAAGTGATGTTAGTTAAATGTGCAAAAACAAATGACGAAGAAAAAAATCAAAAGAAAAATATTTATTGATTAAAACGATTTAAGAGGCACACCTCTCAATCTGACCGACCACTGTAGATAGCATTCTATCAATGTACGTGCAGGAGGCTTCGCTAGCACGTCTTCAGTGGCTGATAAAACTGCTGCGTTAAGTGTCACAGAAAGGCAGTGGCATTGACGGGTAAGTTGTTGTGCAGGCCAGTACTTTGGTGGGGCAAGAGGAAGTGCAACACGTTTCCATGTTCATGGTGGCTCAAGCAATGCATTCCTGAAGCACTGTGGGGTACTACATGCATGAGCATTGGCATAGGTTGCCCTATGACTGGAGAGCACTCGTGTCTCCTCAAATGAGGATGCTTTGAAGGAGTGCATATTGAGTACGAGTATTTACTTTGGGATTTCTGGTGCCATCTTTACAACGCGGGAGTTACCATATGCTGTGTTAAATGTGGTCCAGCTATCACAAATGTTTTTATCACGGCCACAATTGTCACTAATTGGGATGTGCCACTCAGGGCCACGGGAACGCATTCATGTGAAACAGTGCTATAGCTGTCAAACACCAAAAAAACATTTTGGGAGTTTTCATAGTATATCAATGTACAATAAACAGTCAACTATTTCTGTGAAGGGACAGTTCACTTTCATATTATACTTATATTCCTGTGATGGAATTACTTTCTTTCTGTTGTTTTCTGTTTCGAAAGTATGCTTTTTTAGACTGCTCCAAATTTGGGATGTGGTGCTCAAATTGTTTTTCTTCCTAACCTGCTTTAAATTTGTATTTCACTACTCCGAAAATAGCTCTAAATTGTAGTTTGGCTTTTGCACACTTGATTACATTTCCATATGATACCTATTTTGGTGATCTGTCACTAGTGAGTGATGCTGCAGCCTCTATGTCAGCATGGAATGATTGCATCTTACAAAGGCACAGTTGAAGGCATGTTGTCTCACTCTTTTGTGGTAGTGATGGGCTTGATGAATTGTGCAGGTGCTGACAGCCACACAGCAATTGTTTGAGCGGGTGCCTCAGTTTCCGCAGCTGAGCAGCCAAGCGCTGGGCACGCTCTTCCTCCAGTTAACCGTCCAGGACTTGGGCATTTGCATGCCTCTTAACAAAGGGGTGAGTCACGCAACGATGCCTCCTTTATGGTACTTTTGAAGTGTAGCCATAAACGCTAACTGACCACCCAGCCCTTTGCAGCCCTCTGGACCTGGAGCACAGTTGCTGCATGTGTTTAATTGGTTAATCAGACAAGGCTTCCTGGTGCTTTTAAAAGGACCACTGAGCATGCTTGGTGGCCCCCTGAAATTTTGAGTCAAGTTTCGTGGTTTGCAGATGAGGAAACCTGTGTTGAGAGTACAATTACAGTACACGTCTTTCATTAAACAGAACTTGAAGAGAAATGCTCTGGAATTTCGAATATACGTTCTTCAGTTTCGCGATGATCTGCATTTTATGACGAATCTGGTCTTGAAGTAATGTATTAAAAACCTTTATTTTACGACGTAGTTTTACGCCTACCACGCATAATATGGTAGTTTTCAGATTTCGTTTGAAAAAAAAAAAAAAAAGACCACCTTTACTCGAATGAAGTGTCGACCAAATATTCACGAATGCAAAATATCAACTTGTGTTTCCCAGGTTGACGATTGGAAACGTAGAGAGTAAGACAGGATGTCTTCTTAGAATGGAAAAGCTATTCTCTTGGAAGCTCCTGCACTTCCACATAGAGTAAAGCCTCATTAATTCAAACTGACGTACAGGGGCCAGGAGCTGCTGGATACATACGAGTCCCGTAACTAGGGAACCGCTATATCTGGTGCCTGCGCGCACTACCGACAATGTTGGGCTCGATAAATGTTGATTCATCATCAGAATGGAAGAGCTAATCTCTTGGATGTTCGTGCACTTTCACATAGAGTAAAGCCTCGTTGATTCGAACTCGGCTATTTCAAAATGCCACTTAATTCTAAATATTTCTATGGTCCCGCATTTTGCAGTGTAAGTTTGAGTGGACAATTTGAAGTGGCGGTCAGCACAAGTTCAGTTACTTTGTAAACTTTGGGTGCAGTGTGCCGATTCCCGATCTCCATTTCGTCTCAAATCCGCATAGTGATGCCCCTTAAGAGCCACTAGGCAATGTACTTTAGCAAAACTAATGAGTGATAGCTGAAGTACTATGGTGACCCTGCTACTCACCGTAGCGGATGATCACCGTGGGTTCACGCTTAGCGAGCCACAGGGCCGCGACTTCGTCTCCTACTCGCATGCAACGCACCGCTCCGCATGCGCTCAACTAATGAGGCGTTTAGCACGGCCCGGCAAAACGAGACAGTGTTCCAATAGAAAATACATAGCGCTTTATTGCCTTTGGCGGCACCCCGAACAACAGTACAACATCCGCTCCCGGGGCGCGAAGAGCAAAGGCACCCGCACGCGGACGTTCACGATAAGGGGAAACCGCGAGCACGTCGCAGCTGGCAAAGGCGAGCTTTAACAGGCCTGTCAGGAAAAGGTCCCTCGCGGCTAACCTGTGCACTCTCACGATAGCCGCTGGGCCTGGTCGCGAGTGTTATGGCAAACCTCTTACGCTTAGTCCTACGGAAAGTGCTGCTTGGTGTGGTAAGAACACTTCAAGCACTAGGCACCGCTGTGGGCTTAGCGTACGGTACCGAAGCTAGCGCCACTCAAGTAAACATGCTTGTCGAGGTGCCAAAGGGCACCCCAGGCAGGCTACAGTCCGGCGATTCCCAAAAGGGACGCGGACTTAGGAAACACGTGCTTACCCGGCGCCGACCACGGAGGAGAGAGAGCTCCCTCGGCGCACACGTAACATGTGCAGCACTCGCACATGGCGCCATCTACCGCCACGTGCTCTTACCAGAGCAGAAAAAGCAAAAGGGTGTGGTCGTGCAGCGGAATGCCGCGAAATGGTCACGGGCGCGCATCAGATTTGCACATCCTCTTCTCTTTTATTCACCCTATATACCGGTCTGTTAAGGCAACCGGCCGTCGCCCATGCACGCAAAGACGTCATGCAATGGGCAACAGCTAGCCTCAGCCTCGCTCTGCAACTGCTGCTGAAGAAAAAATAGAACAACACAAGAATACATCTGAGAAATACAATGGCGCTGTGGAAGAGGGGTAACGGGAGTTCATGATGCTCACGCAAGAGCGCATGCACGGTTCAGAGGGGAAGCGTCACGTAATGTTTGACTTGGGTGACTGCGTGGATGCGAGAGTGCAAGGCGAGAGTTCTTGTCGAGGCCCTCATGCGAAGCACGGGCTCACCTTCGTCTTGTTGATGTTGACGACAGCCCTGCAAGTTCGACGAACGCCGCCTCGGTGGAGGTTCGGATGGACCTCGCTGCGACAGCCGGCCCTTCTACTGGAATCATGGTCGCCAAATCCACTGGCTGCGAGGCGTCCTGTGCCGTCTGTCGAGTCGTGCGCAGCGTCTGCGACAGCTGGCCTCGTGCAGGAGTCGTGATAGAAAGGCCAGCAGAGCTTTTCAGCGACGGTTGGGAGCAGGGCGCAACCGGGCTGCCTAACGACCGTAGGACTCTGAACACCTCCAGAGTCCAAGGTGGTGTAGGGGTCGGTGACTTCTTAAGTTGTTGTCGCCACAAGCACGTACGCACGCACACACACCTCCAATGGTCGGGCCTCTCCTAACGTGCCCCGCAAAGAAAGGCACAGAGTGTCCTTTGTCCCTCTCCTCACGCTCAAGCACCAATTCACGATCCCCTCCTCCAGCGAGGAGAAAAAACAAAAAACACGAAAAAACATCAAGTAAACAAGAACACTCAAATGAAAATCGGGAGCAGTAACTGGGGGGAGACAACTTCCTTGCACGCACTGGCTTTAAAGAAGTTAGCTAACTGAGACTAGACACTAAGTATGAGGGCCTTTGGTTGCGGGAATAAGCCCGTCGTCCGGGGCGAAATCGCTCAGCTGACCGCTTCCTGTGCTACGATGTGGGCACGGCTGAATTTTTCAGAAAGCGGGTCTTTCAGCAAGTACGTGAGTGGAGTCCAACCTTTCTCCACTCGGTACAGACCAAGCCACTTTGGAACAAGTGAAGCTGAGAAACCCTCGCTCGCGTCCCTAAGAGCGTGGTTGCACTTCGGGACGAGGTCACCTACCTTAAATGAAACGTGGCGACGTTTTCGGTCGTACTGGGCCTTTTGCTTGGCCCTGGCTGATGCCAAACTCTGCCTCGCTCTACTGAGAGCTCGACAAAGCCTGTCCCGAAGTGTTGAAGCGTAAGCAGAACAGTCTGCTGTTTCTTCCTTGTCCTCAAGCTGGCATTGCATGACACTGGTCACTGGATTCGCCAACTCCCTTCCATAATTGAGCAAGGCGAGAGAAACCAGTAAAGCGACTCTCGGAGGTTCGGATTGCAAACGCGAGTTCACTCAAATGGTCTGCCCAGTCCTTTTGAGTTTCGGAAAAGGCCGCCAACATCTGTTTGAGCGTACAATTCGTTCGGTCCATCAAATTGGACTGGGGATGGTAGGGCGAAGTGGTGCAGTGATCTATTCCTAGCTAACGGCACGTATCACCAAACACCTGAGCGGTGAAATACGACGCATTGTCCGTGATCAATTTCTTCGGAAAGCCGAATCGAGGAAACACTTCTTGTAGCTTCTCTAGCACCGCTCGCGCTGTCACTTTCTGCAGCGGAAGCTCCATCCATTCAGAAAAATGATCAACGACTACCATGAGATGCAAAAACTTTGGAGCCACTCAGGTGGCCGGCCATGGGCTCGTCGTGAGAGCCTCGCAACAGTGCGCCTCTCAGACTTTTGGGCACAACCATCTTTAAAAGTAATGAGGCTACACAAAATCTGATAACAGTTTTGGAATCTACAAGAAAAAATATCTCTGTGGCTAAATTTTGGAAACCCTAACTTGAAAACTAAAGAAAAAGTGTTTTCGAGTAGCGTCTCCCCTTAACGGGTCCACTGACTCTTCATCAGTGGCTATGTATTTCAGCAGGAGTCCATCATGGTCCAGCAAGTATGTATTCGCGGGGGACCCAGCGACACACGCCGGTTCCCGTCCCCCTGCGCCCGCCGCACTACCAGTAGCGTCTCGGCGCTCCTTCTTCCTGAAACCGTCGCTGAACTCGCGACAAAACGGATCATCTTGCTGGGCCTTCAGTAACTCTTGTCTGCTGAAAGCGATTCCCATTCTCCCAAAGGGGAGCCTGGTATCGTTCCCACTCAGGACTGCAGCCATCGCCTCCACTCGCATTGGCGTCATGGGTTCGCTTCCCTTTCGCTCACCCTCTTGCCCGCTTCGTGGCGCGCTGCTATCCTGGCCCGTGAAAAGGGTTTGCTCGTCGGCACACTTGCTCGTTTCTCCGCTCGGTGGCTTTGCCCTCGTTCCGCCTGCATCGCTGGCTTGTGCAAAGGCACCGCTAGCGGTTGTCGCATCGGGATCCAGGCTCATGGTAGACACTGGGTCACGAGATAGCGCATCAGCTATCATGTCACTGCTCCCCTTCCGATACTGCACTGAAAAGTCATAATGCTGTATTGGGAGAGCTCATCGCGCCAGCCTGCTTGCAGGCTCACGGAGTTGCATCACCCAGCTAAGCGCACTGTCATCTGTTTGCACCACAAATTTTGTCCCATTAAGGTAGACATCAAACTTCCGCAGTGCAAATGTGATGGCTGGACACTCCCTCTAGGTCATGGAATATTTCCTTTCCGCGGGTATCAATGAGCGGCTGGCAAAGGCCAACGGCTACAACACACTATCGCATTCTTGTAGGAGAACTGTTCCTAATCCCAGATCGCTTGCGAGTCTGGACAACAAACGGTCTGGTCAGGTCGGGGAGCTGGAGGTGCGCCGTCTCCGCAATGGCGCTAGACAGACGGCAAAAGGCCTCTTGCTGCTCAGGTCCCCATTGCTACTCAGCTGACTTACCCAAGAGCTTGGTCAAAGGCACCTGCACTCGGGCACATGACGGAATGCACGACCGGTAAAAATTGGCCATTCAGAGAAAGCGGCGCAGGCCGCATACGTCCTTGTGCGCGGGGAAGTCGAGGATTGCTCGAAGTTTCTCCCGTTCTGGCTCACTGAAGCCTTTGCGCAGCGTGAAGCCAAGT